CGACATTCTAATTTATTGAGATGCACCTGTATATATATATATATGAATTTTATAAACGTAGGTATGACATATTTTTGCTCAGTTATCCATACTGGAGTATACTTTTCTGACTACTTTTTCCCAGCTGTGGTCCTGTGGTATGTAGCTAAAAAGCTTTTCATGTCATTGCAGGTCAACCTGCTGAAAGATGATGGAGACGGACCCAGACTGTACACCATACCTACATCAGGTATGAGCCAGAGTCCTTGCCAGTGCCTGAGTTTGTGTACACAATATACTGATTCAAGAGCTCAGGAGCTGATTGAGACGAGCACACACGGCCACTAAGAAAAACACAATGCAGCCAGCTGAGACTATGGTCCACCAGGCTGGAGAAAGTGATGGACTTCACATTGAGGAGAAGACGCACGAGTTTGGAGGACAAACCAACAGCTGCAGCTTGGACTCGATAAGTACCGGGTGTCTGATGTTTGTTTGTTTTGGAGATGATGATGTTCATGTACTATACATGTCTGCCAAACCTGGGAACCTTTATGACATTATTACTGTACATTTTCTTGATGCCTCTGATACCAGATGAAAAGGACATAATCACAATCCATTTCAAATGCTTCCTATCTCTCATGTTTCCCCAAAGACAATATACAGAACATTCAATGAAACCGTCATTTCTATGCAAACCTGCTAACTGTTTAAAACGGCATGAGAGGATCCACACTGGAGCGAAACCTTACAAGTGTTCACACTGTGACAAGAGATTCAGTGATTCAGCAAATCTGAAAACACACGAGAGGATCCACACTGGAGAGAAACCGTATCACTGCACTGCATGTGGGAAGTGTTTCAATCAATCATCTTCTCTACACAGACATACAAAAAACAATCACAGTCAGTAGATCATCTTCAGATCCAGCACTTTCAGATCTGATGCTGTGTCCTCATCAAATGTGACACAATAATGCATCAAACAATAAAATATCATCTGGATAAATCTGTCCTAACCAGACATTACAAGTGACATGACAAAGAAACATTATCTAAAGTTTTCACAGTGAATAAAGGTCATCTTCAAAACCAGCAGATTCAACTGTGAGATTCTGATTAACTCAAAGATGGAGTTCCTCCACAAAGAACAATGTTAAAAGTTTTATTATTGTGTTATCATTTTGCTTCTTGATATAAATGATATCATTGTGTTTTCTTATAAGTTTCATATTATGTTTAATTGTCTTATAATGCATATGCGTCACTGTCACTGGTTTGCTGTCTCTTTCATGAAGGAAAGTAGAAGCTTTTTACAAACCTTTCTTGTTCAGGAAGCTGAAGAGGCTGTAACACTTTTAAGAGAGCTGAGATTTATTTTTTTTACCTTTTTCTTCACTGTTGTTTTTAAAATGACTAGTCATTCTTCCATAAATTATGTATTCAGAAAACGCAGATGCAAGAAATACTCTGTCATGTAGCTTTGCAACTGATCGTTATTTGCTTTTCTTGTAAGTAGGGATGGGTATCTGAACCTGGTATTAAACAAGCACTGGGCTAAAATCTGATGTGTCTTGAGGACTTTATGGCTGCTGTGTGCATGTGTCTGTTAAGTCCACATGACTGTAGTAATACATTATTATAAGTTTACACCACTGATCTATAATAGAGAACTGGATTGCTGATGAAGTTATAGAAGTGAAGCCACTGCACTGTCATATTGCTATTCCCTAGTGCTCCCATATATTCTACTGAATTAATAGGAAATCGTATGATTTTAATGAGAAAATATCAGATATAAGAACACTGACTTGTTAGGTGAAGTATTCCTGTACATTCTTACAACACAAACGTCCTAAGCATGCACATTTGGTTATTTGTTTAATATTGGGATTTTGTCTTGTGTATTAAAAAGTTACGTATCATATTCATAACAGTAGCAAACATTAGATGATCTTCAGATGGACGAAATCCTCAACATATGTATTACACATGACAAAGTACACATTCTGAAATCTGAATAAGGGTTTAAGAGATTTAACACCAGGAGACTATATAATAAATTTCCTCTTGAGGCAACACAGGTTCGTTCACAGTGAGTCAGCAGGAGACGTGTATATATATAAAAGAAAATATACATTTTATTAAAGGTGATGTTTTACAAAAGCACAGAGAAGAAAAAAAAAATCACAAACAGTTTAGTTACACAATATAATGAAATACAACAAGAGTGACCCGAGTCAAGTCAATTCAAGTTTATTTGTATAGCGCTTTTCACGATACAAATCATTGCAAAGCAACTTTACAGCAAATGAAGTTTCTACAATATTTAGAGGTAGCTTATCAGTGGTGACTGTCAATTAATGTACATATGGCAGAAATGTACGGAAAAATCAATTTAAGACATAAAACAGACAATGAACACTATTAACAGCAATTATTATATGATGCAATCAAACTTATAGCAAAATGTGGTAGTTCTGTATGTTGTTTCAGGGTTGGCATCATCTGAGGTCCTCTGAGGGGTTGGCATCATTTCTTGTCTGAGGCTACTCAGAGTAGCCTCAGACATCCGAATTCAGAGTGCAGAAGGAAATAAAGGGCACAACAAGGCCTCCACAGAAAGTCACTGTTCCCTTACACCTGTGCATAAACACACACACACTCACGCCTACACACACCACCACGCATAACACAGCACTCGTGAAGGAAAGACCGCCACCAGAAATCCACCTCCGCCTTAGACACTCAGCTCCTGCAACAAACAACGGCAATTAAAGACGTAATAAAACAGACGATGAACACTATTAACAGCAATTATTATATGATGCAATCAAACTTATAGCAAAATGTTGTAGTTCTGTATGTTGTTTCAGGGTTGGCATCATCTGAGGTCCTCTGAGGGGTTGGCATCATTTCTTGTCTGAGGCTACTCAGAGTAGCCTCAGACATCCGAATTCAGAGTGCAGAAGGAAATAAAGGGCACAACAAGGCCTCCACAGAAAGTCATTGTTCCCTTACACCTGTGCATAAACACACACACACACACACTCACGCCTACACACACCACCACGCATAACACAGCGCTCGTGAAGGAAAGACCGCCACCAGAAATCTACCTCCGCCTTAGACACTCAGCTCCTGCAGCAAACAACATTAGGTTATACACTGCTCTCAGAACACACTTATAAAACCAGAGTCACTCCATAACAATAAACAATCAATCAATGCACATCAATTAGAAACTTGAGAGAAACAATACTTAAAACAATACCAAAATAGAGACCCTTCAGGCCCGTCGCCAAGGTGGGGCATTGGGGCATTTATTAAAATAAATACAAAAAACGTCTCAGGTTACTTATGTAACCATGGTTCCCTGAGTAGGGAACGAGACACTGCGTCCTCTAGGGGTCGCTATGGGGAACGCTTCGTCGTGACCCGTGTCTGAAGCATACATTGAAAAAACACCAACAACATGTTGGGTTGGGCTACTATACAATTTTAAATACACTGTTAAAATGTCCTGTAGAAATTACAGTAACTTACTGGCAGCAGTTCGCCAGTAACTTACTGTAAATTAAACTTACAGTAAAAATACTGTATTCATAATTACAGTACCATTTAACTTGCTGTAAATGTATTTACAGTATGTATACTGTACTTTTAGTTTTTACTGTAAAATATACAGTAATTTTATGGTCTTTTCTTCAGTAACGTATTGAAATACAAGAAAAATAATAATTTAAATGAAAATAAGCAATGTTACTGTTTATAAAGCTTTTATTCAAGATTCACATTTAAGTATTGTGATATATCATTGGAACACAAATGATCTATTTTCTCTCGTCTCAGAACAGTATGTGTCTACTGTGCATCTGCTATAGTAACACTTTTAAAAACAGTTATATGAACACATAAATCAATTAGTTGTTACCTCTATCCATTTACATTCACCAGGATCTTAATATTGACATTTAAACATCTTAACAAATGATACAAACATGATCAGAACACATATGATACCCCTAAACCACAAAAATATGACTTTGTGTTAAATGTCAACTCCGTCATTGGCCAATCTTGAAACCTTACGAAACACACGTGTCCTTGAAAAACAAAAAAACAACTTGCTTTGATATGAGATATTATTAAGTCTTGCTTTTAATAAAACAAGATCTTTTTATCATTAAAAA